GGATGGTCGAAAGGTTGGTGAGACGTGTGCCAAGACTGTCGCTGATATGGACGGTGGTCACAAAAACGTGCGCTGTGACCCGGGACACCACAGTTGTAGCATACCGGACTTGGTCGAGGGGCACGTTGTTGCTCAGAGTAACGACTCCTCTCGGAAGGCATGGGATAGTGGTACCGTCCTTCGGGGGCCCTGTAGGGAGGCGATGTTGGGTAAACAGGTGGGCGAAAACTTTGTCCGTAGTTGGGAGGTGGTTGACGGGGGAATCCAGCCTGCCGTGTGCCTTGATATTCATAAGCGTCTGCTGCGTTGATCGATGGTTGCCATGGTGGAAGAGAAACAAGAGTCCGCACACGTTCTGGTTCGCTTACGTACCCATCCTGAAAATCGCTGGGGCGATGATAACTCTGCTGACATCGAAGCAGCTCTTCTTTGACGATCTGCCGTATGGTCAAAGCAAGGTCGTTAGGCAGCACTGTTTCAACACTAGCCACAGTGGGGACATTGGACAGGCGGCCGAATTTCGGAGAAATTCGTCGCATCTTGAGGGATTCAAAGGTACGACAGTGCTTCATCACGTCGGACACGGAGTTCAAGCAGTCTTTCCCAATTAAGAAATTGTCTTCGGCTATACTCTTGAGAACGTGTCCAGCCTTGTCTTCTTCAGACATCCTCCCATTCACGATCTTGCACAGCTTCAATATTTCTTCAATGTATGTCGTACATGTTTCTGCTGGAAGCTGTGCCCTCTGAGACAATGTTTGCTCCGCGCGTTTCTTCTTTGCGTCCGAATCACCGAAGCACTTCTTCAACAAAACGTTCCCAAGTCGTGAACATGTCCTCGTGGTTCTCGTACCACATAAGGGCGGTGTCAGTTAACGAGAATATGACATGATTGAGCTGTTCGTTCGAGTCCCAGCCATTGCTTCTGCTCACCCGCTTGTAGTTCTTGAGCCACACGTCGACGTCTTCTCCTGAGGTCCCGCCGAAGTTTGGTGGCACTCTGTAGTACGGCACGGAACCCATCGTAGTTGGCCTCGAAGCGTTGGATGGCTGCTCTTGGGCCATTACGATCGTCGAAGGTGGAAGTCCGGCGAGGCGGCGGCTGTGACGAAGTCTTGGTAGTGAAGCTCCCGTCTTTGGGTTCGTCCTACCCAGCACCTTTCACCAAATTGTTACACAAAGTAAGGTAACTTAATGGGGGGTTTTAATGGACCCTGAGTCCGCGATCACAGTACAATGATGATGATCTCCACCGCCATGGCTCGTACCCACTCAGGGGGATCGCAGTGGAGGCAACGTCGTCTTCCTTCTCTGCCCATGCTTCCCTTGTTTTTCCTGGTAATGATACTTTGTATCAATATGAACAGATATATTATAAAATAGATTTGTTTAAGGACCAATATAAGGGCTGCGTTTCTTATGCAAGTGGGTTTATTATACAAGTAATTGTGGTAGCTCACGAGCACACTAAATTAACACTGCAAAAATGATATGTCGATGAATAATGTCAATGAAGACATGTGCTGTACAATGGACTAATGGTTGAACAATTGCTTAATGGTCCCAATCAAAGATGATCCTAGGTAGGGCATCTTCACATTTTTGTAAATGAGAATACAAGCCTGCACGTGTAACATTTCGTGTCTATCTCAAAGCCAACACCTGCACACCTTGCACAGTCCCCAATAACATCTTTGACGTTCGCTAGGGGGACTGGTATCATTTCGCGCCAATGCAGTTTTCCCTCCAAAATCTGCGCAGTTCAGTTTTCTGACCGCTAGGCAGGAAGTTGAGAGACAGCTTAAAGGTGGCCAAACAGAGCATTGTCAGAAGCCACATGTATTCTTGATCGTGTCGGGAAAAGTCTACAGAAGATGTAGATCAGCAAGTGAAAGCATTGTTGGCATAACATTGGTAAGCTCGAGAAATTGGCACATCGCATTTCAAAACGGCACGATCACAACCTTTGTCTTGCGGGTGGCATCGACAAACCCAAAAAATAAATCCCCGAATGCCATAGTAATAGCAATTAGGTCATGGGGCACACAAGGCAGAATGGTAGGGCGAGTTTGGAGAACGAGCAACCAGAAGTACGAGATGATTATGAGCAGACACGGGTTGTGCGGCTGGAGACTGCGAGAGCTGCATTGCAGAAACGTGTGCGTATGAAACCGGTTGGAGTTATGGTGAAGTTTTGGCATGGTGGGTACTGTAAAATACTGTCATTTCTTCTCTGATAATTCCATGCAGACCGGAAGAGGCCCATTATGCATGAGCATTGTTGCAAGGTGATGAACTGCAAGGCTTGCAAGGCGGATTGACTGAAGCCACTGTTACACAGAGACGACGACTGAAACCATCGAAGGGTCGTGCGCAACGAGGCCATAAAAAAGTGGTAGGTCCTATACACTTCAGAAGTTGTTGTACGCATTTGGTTTCTGTCATTACATCGTTGACGCAACGGCAAAGCACAAGCTGATCTTCAATATAAACAGTGTAAGACTCGCCATAATGCTGAACGTGAGCAGCCTGTGTCTTCCTTGCAACTTATGAACAAACCGTGGGTCTGCCGAAAATCTGCCATGGCTCATTCTTAAAGACAGAAGACCAATCATGGAATTGGTTCTCGTGATTCAGGGACCATATCTTGGTTACTTTGGATACATAAAACTGCACGTGTGCTAACTTCAACGCCTCTTTCCAGTTGTAAACGTGAGAGGTACGGGAATTGATACCCCGCATCTCCACCATTTGAAATAACACGGTTCCGGTGATACTTTATTTCAGGAGCAGCAGGATGGCGCCAATGAAGAAGATGCACAAGCAAATGATGATGGTTATTTACAGAGGAAGAAAATGAAGTGCAATAAATGGCTACCTATAGTGTAAAATTTTCCCCACTTTCCAGCTTTCGTGTCAGTAATAAAAGAAGACAAATATTTTTGCTAGACTAATTGATATGCTGCCCTAATAAGTGGCCATACAGGTCTTGAAACAAACCACTTAATAAAAACTTTGAGTTTTTACTTTATACAAAACATATCACACGGGTGCTATATTTTATGTGGCACCTTCATCCTCATTTATTTACTGAATTGGGAATTTGTAAGGAGGCCTAAGATAACCGTTCGCATGCAAAGTGCACGCGATGAATCGGCGCAGAATGACCTTGAACTGTCGAGCTTCATCAGATAGTTGCGACAGAAGGTGTGTCAGCGCTGTACCCGATTGCATGACTTTATTGGGATGCCTGAGCAAGCGCAGTTTCATCTCCTCATGAATACTTGCTTCATGGGTGAGCAATTTGCAATTGTTTGAAACTAGGCTCGTGCGAATAGTGAATTTAAAGTTTGAAGCAAATTCGAAGTGAATAGTGAGTTTGGTCAAATAATTTCGAACAACATTTGAATAGTAATATGACATATAAAAAAAATGGCCATATGTATCATGACCTAATTAACCTGTAAAATATTTTTTATTGAAATAAGACCTTTATGCAAATGCCTTTTTTTTGTTTAAAGAAAGTCTAAACAACATTGAGTAGTAGCAGGATTTGACTTTCAGTAGGATACAAGTAACCTGTTACCTGTAAAATACATACAATTTTAAAATTTATTATACTTAGCATATAAGCTGTCGTAACAAGCTATTAGGCTTAAAAAATGATGAATCAATTTGGGGGTAATATTTTAATTTAAAGGGGCCCTGCAACACTTTTTCAAATAACCATAAAACGTATTCACTAAAGAAGCTCATCGCCTTACGAATTCACCCCACGGCAAAAAATTTTAGAATCCGTCCAATACGAGCGGATTTGCAAAGATTTGTCAGACGCTGCACTTGCATTCTCTCTTCTCGTCCCAATGAAAGCACTGGAAGTTATGCAGGGAGGAACGGCATAAGAAAAGAAAACACCTCACATGCTCCTCATGACCTTGAGCGCTTCTTCTCTTTTTTTCGAATAGGTGGCTTTTTCAGTGCACTTGCGCATGTATGCATGAACAAGTGGCCGTCTCCCGTGGCTGCCCCCTTAGTGACCAAGCGGGCATGTTCAAATCAGCCAATGGCTGATACAAAGGTTGTGACAAGTGATTTTTGAGCTTGTGGCGTCGTTTGTCGAGAGAAGAGAGCAACTTTTGGCTGGCTTTGAGAATTCATTGTGAATTGCAGGTCGCGTACTGCGCAATAGTATTATTTGGCTTGCGTGTTCTCAATAGCCTCGACCACTGATCAGGAAAGTTTTCTGGCCATGCTGAAAATGTGTTCCAGGGCCCCTTTTAATGTAAAGTAAGGCTTCACGGCAAAGTGCATTTTCTCTGGATAGGTGCTTTCGCGACTTAGCACTGTATATTGCAGTGAAACCACCTTTACAAGCTCTTACATGAAGATTAATTTACACCTACTTGTTCATTGCGAATACTTTGAAATTTTCTGCAATTTAAATTCGAATACTTTACTATTTGTTTCAATATTGGAAGCATTCGAATATTCTCACAAGCCTATTTGAAACCTTTACACTATCCACTCCTTATGCAGTTCACACGGTGCGATCCTGCACTGCTACTATGCAATATTACATTTCTTAACAATCCTTCTCACCTGATGTGACCATTGGGTAATAAAACACTTGACTGTCACACAGAATGCATGTGCTGGATTTCAGGTTGAACCCTGTTTTCTAAGGTCACACAAGTTTTTGTATTGCATGCAGAATTTTTCAGGGGTAGTGCTTGAACTGATGACAAATGCCGCTGTTAATAAATGCTTACTGAAATTCACAACTGTGCCTCATGAGGACATCTTGCTATGAATGCACTTCAGATTTCTTCAGCTGGTCACATACAAAAAGGGTGTGTTTCACGTGTCTCATTGTTTCATCAAAGTCATAAAAAAGTAAGTGTTGCCTCGTACAGATTGATGTACTGCACTTAGCGAAAAGCAAGGCAGTCATCAAGTGAGGCTGCTATTAAGCACTCTGAAGCTGACGTGGAGAGGCTTACCCGGTCCCGTTCATCAGCATCGGCGCGCACGCTCAGCTGGTTCAGCACCGGGGACTCGAGTTCACTGAGGGCATCGAGCAGGGCACCAAACAGCAGCGCCAAGTGGGGCCTCAGGGCGGGCCCGGCACTGCGGCTCAGCTGCACCAGGGTGTCTAAGCTGCACCAACAATGAAAACTTCAGTGATTGACTTTTATTGCGATAGGAATTATAATAGATTATAATAGATACTCTCGGCTAAATTTTGCCGCCGTCATCGGCGTTGGCCACCACCGTCATTCACCGTATATGTGTACGTATCTACATACATGAAAATGCAAGAAAGAAAAATACCTAATCCAGAAAAAAACTACTGCGTGCGGCATATAACATCTGACTTCTTGCTTGTGATTGCATGGCGTTAATCACTTTGCCACGAAGGAGCAGTTCCTTCAACATTGAAACGGCAAGCTATTTATTTCTACCACTTACCGCTAGCGATAGGCATCTGGGGGAAACTATCTTGCTTTTAGCATTACCAGCAAGATGGCGCAATGAGTGCACCTCGCCAGATTATCACGACATGACGACATGCGCTCATCTCCCACACGTACTTTGCCCCGCGGAAAGGGGGGGGGGGGGGAGGGGTAGCCGCTCATGCATGTGTGCGCTTATCTAGCGGTGTGGAGAACCGTACGCCATGGGCGTTCACTTGAAAGATTCTGTTGTAGTTACTGGGTGCACAGAGGTTACTGTACTTGCTGCACAGTGTCCGTTTGCAAAAAGGGCGTGCTTTTCAGACACAGTCAATTAAAAGCTGAGACACTTTAATTCATCTGTACCTGTGAGTACGTTTCGTGCATCATTAGTGGGGGAGCAATGTGGGGCACCTTTCGATTTGCTTACTATTCTTCGTGTGACGTTACAATTTGTTGCTATCGCATTCATTGCTTCTTCTTTGCAGCAAAGCTGTGACTTTTTCATGAACGCTGTGCCATTAGGCTTGAAACTATGATAAGCACATCGTTTAGTTATATTTTGATTATACTGGCTACAAATAACACTGAATTAAAGGGCACTGCATTCCGCGGATGTCAAGGAGTCCAACGAGAGAAATTTTATGGCTGTAGCTTACCTAGAACAACAATTACAAAGCTTCTTCAGAATTATCATTTGAATGACAGAGAAAAAGCACTTTTCGAATTCCATCTTTTCTAAAAATATGTAACTTCTCCAAAATAACATTTGCCATCTTATTGCACCGTCGACATATTCAGCTTTTCAGCGCACAAAAGGGGTGAAATTAGACTCTGCCAAAGTTTAGAAAATCATGACAGAAGACTTAGATAATAAAAAAGAGGGGGTTCCACTGGTCGCTGATGCGATATAGAATGTTATAATGACTCAAACAATGGTCTGTCCAATGCATGAAAATTGATCAGGTAAGGAATGAGTAGTGGCAGAAACCAAAGTATAATTTTCAGAAAAGTAGATATCTGTGTTGCAATTCTACATTCCAAAAAGCAACTTCCCACTTGAAATCACTCAGCCTCTGTGTAGTGCAATGGCATCCCTGCTAGAGCTAAAAGAGATGACACATTAGTTTTGGACAACACAAAAACCAGTCAGAATAAATTGTTTCCACCCAGGCCAAAGTGCCGCATAGCCACAAATCTACTGCACACCATTTTTACTTTAAAGGGGCCCTTTTAAAGCCGGCAAACAGCAGTGTCTCTTGGCTACATGATGCAGTTGATTTGGAAATGTGGCGTTTTCTAGCACACTTTGAACTCAAATTGTAAATTCCCTATCCATGTGATCTCCTGTGTTGTTTGGCTCACGTACTCTCAGGAGCATCGAATGCCGATGAGAGCATTTCCTGGCCATGTGAAATTATTTTTACCTGCTATTCGATTTGCAGCACTGAATTAATGGTGCGGCCACTCGGCAGAGTTGGACGCATCAGATGCATTATAACTAGTTAGCCAGGGCCACATCCAAGAATGGGGTAGTATTTATGTGTAATAAAAGCTGACTTTGGCAACATGTGGTTGATGTGAAGCTGGGTAAATACTTTAGTATCTCCCGAAAAGTTGCATGAAAAAGTTTCGGGGGAGCTGTCACTACTTCCCTCAACTTCCCCTAATTATAGCCCTGTTGTTGGTGATTCAAATAGGGCAACATTTTTTCGAAGCAGAATGGTATACAGCACGCTTGACTTCAATCAAAGTAATAAGACAAAAAAATTCAAACTGGCATTATTTAAAACACTACATTCAAGCTTTGGCATTTTTGATAAACCACTTACGTTTCAGCGAAACTATCAACTATAACGATGCATGCAAAATCGACAAATCATTTAGAAAATAAACAGATGTTGAGGTCCGTAGGTACCAAGTTTTACTATCACCAGTTAAAGCTGGATGCAGCAATAGCTCCACAAATAAGGTTATTTTGTTCCATTCACCGTGGTTATGACCTTTTTTTTACTCAAAAGTAATTTGACACCTAAGAGAAATAAAATACTCACAATATTGAATTTCACTTGTACTTTGAAATAAACCAACTGGTGTGCATCGTTTTTTCATTAAATGCACTGAATGTTTAGAAATTGCAAAAGTGGCACAAAAGTGCTTTTTGCCACTCATATTTGTATATAAATTTTTTTAAGAATACCAAGATATTTTTGCCAGAACTAACTTGAAAATCATAGTTTTGGAAGCAACACCTGTCCTTAGCACAAATTTTATTAAAATCTGTAACGGAGACCTCATGTCTGTTCTTATGAGGACACTTTTACTATTCAGTGAATTACCTACCTGTGCCATCGAATTCTCTTTAAGAAAAACAAAATGCATGTAATGGCAATAAAAAACTCCTGTTGTGGAAATTCTAGCCCCGCCATCCGTATCAGTGGTGTTGTTCATGAATAAAAAGCCACGATGAATTTTAAGAAATTGCCGGGTATCTATCTGCTTGCTTTCCTGCAAAGGTTGTCGAAAAATGATGTGGAGGTGCTGCGTGAGATATAAACGCCATGTGACAGTAATGTCAAGAAACAAAGTTTTTGTAAAACACAGAGCCACTGGTAGGCGGCAGCACCATGTGGTCTAAGCAACGCGTAGGAAACACCCACTTCTTTTTACATTCATAGTGTAGCATTGTCAGTGCAGTGTAAGAAACAGTAGGGCCTTTACATTATGTACCTGTGCGTTTTCTAAATAAAGAAACACACTAACAAATTCCTACAAAGTGATGTTGCACGTCAAATATGCCTAATATTTGCTTTTTGATTGCTTTTTGATGAACAATGTTCACAAGTATGAACACAGCCTTCAGATCATTAAGGTTTGGCATTGAGCAACAGCTTAAATTTTCACTGGGTGGCTGATTCATTTGACAGACAGAAAAACAGAAAGAAATGCAGACCACCATACAAACGGACAAAAACGAAAGACCAAATTCTTGCACTGAAGGATCCCAAGAAAGACTACTGTCTTTAGAAATCGGGGGTTTGAACCAGAATAAAAAGTAAACAATCATCGGTACCATAAGGTGTAGCACACCTGATGTAGTAGCACAGAATCATGTGAATGCTCGATACTGTTTCAAAAAAAAAAAAAAAAAAAAACCCTCCTAGGTGTTATTGTGTCGCGCAAGAAGCCATGTTATGTAAAAAAATTGCGTGACAGAAGCGCAGCTACGAAAGAAATCATAAGTGCAAGCCAGGAACAAAGATGATAGTGCCGCATTCTCTTTAAATTATTGTTATCGTTCCATTTCACTGTCAGTAATCCTCAACACAAAACATGCCAACAGTGTTCGAGAATCTTTAGGACTGCAGTAGATCATTTTGTTAAGGGCCCGTAAACCACCCAGAGGTCGAAATTGAGTTGTGGCGGGAAAATTGTGCATGAGTGTACGACGAACACGGAGCTGTGATAATTTTTCGAAACGGTGCAGTAATAGCGGAGTTAGACACGTTTGATTATCAAAACCGTGACTACCACACCTTTCACTCTCTCTTGCGCTTCCCTCCACTGGTATCCTCTCCCACGCCCCTTTGCCTTCTCGCGAGTGCCCCTCCCAATTTCGCATGCCATACATCATCCCTGACGAGCTGCTTGAAACACCATCCAGTTCCAATTGACGGGACTCCGGCCGTCGACTCCGTCAGTTGCGTGCTTGTTGGCGAACAGTGGCTGCCATAATCGTGCCGGTATGGAACTCGTGTTGAGCGCACGCCTTCAAAGGATTGCCAATGCAATGGACCCATACAGGGACACGCCGTGCCCTGCACGTGTTACACACACGCGGGCAACACGACGAATAACAACAAGCAGCGCGGGGAGCTGCTTGCAGACTGATCGGAAGTTGTAGGCTTTTTTTCAACCAGTCACAGCATATTTGGCATATTTGGCTCAGCGCTTCTGAAATGATGGTACAGCACGTCATGCGGAGGCCTGAAAAGCCCAGAAAGGCCCGGAAAGGAGGAGGAATCGTTTCTTCGAATTTGTGGCGCGCCGGCAGCTCGTAGCACTGCCACGTGCAGAATCGTTGATCATGACGGAATTCTGTACACGATACACGCATTTACTTGAAATGCTTGAAAAAAAAAAATTGGAGGTGGTTTACTGGCCCTTTATGATTACGCCCACTTCATGAACATGACGCATTTATTCTGGAACCTACATCAACACTAGTGATATAATTCTAGAATATTTGCTGTCAAGTGTACAAATGCCGACACATTTTGCAGCTTCCGAGTTTATCGACAGCTAATGCTCTGTTGGCCGCTATCAGTGCTAGTGGGCATCGTTGCAATCTGACCTTCAGTTTATAGGCAACAAGTTCAGTCGAATAAACAGTTTCACTTTGAAATTACAGTTCGCTCCCTTTGTCCCCCTCACGACCCGGTGATATCTGGTGGAGGTGCTGCTTCATTCAAGTACCGGACACCCCCATCAAGCAGTGAACCCAGCCCACATCGCAGAGAAGACACTGACACCATCCAGGAGCAGCGATCAAGCCACAGGCAGCAGGGTCTACCACCGGAGTACGGGCCTCTACAAGACAAGGCTAGGAAAACTATGGCCATGACCTCGACTGCGGCAACAATGACAACCACCGCTCTTAGAAACAGTGGACATTGCATGCGCTAGATGAAAAAAAGAACGAGG